TAATATTATATACAGAGTGTTCCATTTGAAAAATCAAAGTTGCTACTGCTTTCTAATAGAAGCGGCAACACCGCATTGTCGAAAATATTTTAGTTGGCTAGAGAATGTCCGAATATGCCCTCCATTAAATTTTCAAAGTGATCCGTTGTCTGGTTCACCAGAAACGTCTAATGTGCCATCCACCGTAAATCAGCCTGTATAATACATACAGATACTGAAAAGATATATTACACATTAGAGAAACAATACCAGAAAAGTTCAAAATATTGAAAATCCAGTATACCATACTTTGTGTATATATTTAAAATACATATAGAACTCTTCTATACTATAATATGGTCTACCACATAATAAATCTTTTATTGATTTTCGAAATTTACAGCTATCCTCTAAAATTTTAATATGGCCACATGAATGATTAAACATCTTGAGACCATTATAATATACACAGTCCTTGACTAGAGTAGGCTGGTTTAGATCATTAGCTTGACAAAGGGCATAATTATTGGAGTAGCCGCTAAATATCAAACTGACTCTTTCTGAAATAAAGATTCCAAAGATTGTCAAAATTTTATGTAGTTCAAACAAGGGTATGCAGGAGTCTCGACTTGTCATTGTGCATGAATCTTCAAGAGGAAGATATTCTTCTTGATGATGATCATTTGGTGATTGAAACACGTATCGTGGTGTTAAAATAACGGTTTGGTGTTGGGAAAAGACCAGTAATATTTATTACTACACCAAAGGTTTCAAACTGTGCATCACATTATTTATTTATATAGAGGAAGATAGGTTAGGTGCACAAAGTGTCATATGTCACAGAATGTCTCGGAACTCGGAACATAAGTAAACAGAACAGCACACCTCTGAAATATGTCATTTTTTTTTTGCTCATACAGGTAACAGATTCATTGTTCTTTATTATCTATAACCGATGTTGCCAAATGGTGAAATAGAAACGAATCCCTTCAAATGTTGGATGCATTATTTCAATCCTCTTTTTCAGTATTTGAATAATTTTTTACAGAAAAAGGTTAAAATGATTAGTTTAAAATGCGTTGTTTTAGAGCTCTTTTATGAAAACTACTTGATTTTCGTCAGGAGGAACATTCGCCATTGAATTACTACACTGCCTATATAACACAAATGCTTTAACTGTACTTCAGACTCATACTCGAGTATTTATCGCCTTTGTTAGCTCACTATGTACCGCACTTTCAACTACGCTTGCCCCCATCTGCCTGTTGGTAGTGTTTATATATCGTAATGGAAGTCTCTCGAAGCAACGCGATCTAGAATGCTCTAGAAGCGCATGTCGAGTTGAACGCGACCTTGACCAAGTCACAGTCGATTGACGAAGAGCAGCGGCGGCCGGCGTTGATTTTTTTTCAGGGGTTAATTTACGACAATATTAATTAAGCATGGTTTGCTTTATGAAACACCTTGGGAAAGTCTGTAAATGGAATGGACTTGGACACCTTCATCCAAGATGTTGGAAAGAAATAGAAATGTTTAATTCATCAGTAAAATTTTCACACATGCACAATTGCAAGATTAAATACATGAGAAAACTTATTGGACTAGGCAAAAAAGTAAAACGCTAAAAACTAAACGCAAATGTTTGATCTTGGACAAATTCAAAAAAGACTACATGTATAAAAGAAACTGTCATTTATCTAAGCACTGAAAGCAATAAATTCATCCAAATTTAAACATTCTGAGATTTCATTAGTCGTCCCAGAACAGTACAACATGTGTCGTCGGCAAACAGTTTTATCTTACACCTTTTAACATGTTTCACAATATCATTTATGTACAGCAAGAATAGCAGTGGACCCAATACTGACCCTTGAGGGACTCCAGAAATTACATTTAAAGTACTTGATGACACTTGATTATATTTGACTAGCTGTTTCCGATATGTGAGGTAATTTGTGAACCATTGTAATACTTTAAGTCCATACTTATTTAATTTCATTAAAAGTAACTCAATGTTGACTGTCTCGAATGCCCTTTTGAAATCCAGAAAGACAACACCTATAATACGTTTTTTAGATAGCTCAACTTTCCACAAAGAGATTAGAAATTGCAGTGCAGTTTCACATGAATGGGTATTGAGTTCAATATATTAACTCTGCCATAATGTGTAATATACTGCAATATGATAAACATTCGAGAAAACTGAAAAAACATCTCTCAGAGAACGCTTACTATGATGTGTTTTGACTTGTCATAGCACTAAGGTATAATAACTCGACCAATAAAAAATCTAATCTAATCTAATCTATCTATACGAAATAAAGAAATTCATACTATCGGGATTGCTGTATTATGCTACATCATTCTAATTTCAACAATAGTTTTTTTAAAAGATCGTAAGATCGTAATGTTGATCCAAATATGTTGATGCCTGAGTAAAGTCTATGTATCATAGCAATGTGAAAAAATTGTACATTTCTAGTTCGTTTCACAGAAATACTCGACCCAAACTCTCTCAAAGTTAAGAGGCAATTAATATTAAAAATCGCAGGCATAATTTCAATAGAAAAAAAGAGACAATGAACATTATTAAAATCTGGCTACCTGTCCTTAATGGTACACAAAGAAGGTCGGGTAATCCAATTAAGAGAAACCCAGTCACGTCCACCAATAATAATACAGAACCAGAGGTATACTAGCACGATAGTTTCTACGTTGGAAACAATGACAACAGCAAGTCGAGCACCTACTCAGGCTCTGCGACCATTATCAGATCGCCTTTGATGTCTACCGCAGTAGTAGACGAAACGTCAGGCATAAAACTTGCAGACCACGGCCAATAAACCCAGAAAATTGCCTCAACTCCAGGAATTTTTTGTAATGCAACTTTTGATTTGAAAGTAAGCACTTACCTAGTCCTAAGAGTTTCTTATCACTATATAGTCCAACTTGGAAACACGCTAGAATTGTGTTGGTGGCCGACTGGTTACATAAACGAGGTTCAACTTCTGTTACTCCCTTCTCTCGCAGTAGTTTCATGAGATACTCAAAGGGCTCTTTCGGGTCCCAGATTTCATACACGTCTTTGCCATTCAGCTGACTCATCACGAAGTCTTTCACGAAGTTGTCAGCTCGTTCCAAGCTCTGAGACTGCTTCAAGGCTGCCACGATCGCTTTGAATGTATTAGATAGTGTACTTTTACCTACAGGGAACTCCTGAAACCAAACAAGTTCGTAATATTTTTCTTGGAGGTAATGTTGACATCTCTTACGGTCGTTAGAATGATGTCCTTCAATCCAATATGGCTGGCGATATGTGAAAGCATGTCCTCTGACGTTAAATAGTCACTCACAGCATTCACTATGTCTTCAGGGTATGTTTTTCTCAACTCTGCTCTCACATAAGTTGAAATTATTTTGTCACCTTCCCCGATCAAAGCGAAGTTGTGGATTTTCTCAGGAACAGGCAAACCTGGGAACCAAAATTTTATATGATGAAAATTGTGTCATTATAACTATCAAAGATCGGTTAACATTAGTCATTTTGAAATCAATATTGTTGAGGTTCGAGAAGGTCACACTCAAACTACTGAGAAAATAAATGTGTGGGCAGGAATATTGGAAAATCATGTTGTTGGACTCATATATAATATTAAAAAATTCCTCAAGGGATTCAAGAAATTATGGCCTACAATCAAGATGAATTGGAAAATCCAGTTGATTACCAACAAGGTGGTGTGCCCAACACTTTTCAGGCCTACAAGGGCTTAGTCAGATATACCCATACATGTAGATTGGTAGGCATGTTCCGCTGGAATGGCCTGCTCGTTCACCGGCTTTGACTCCTCTTGACTTTTTCCTTTGGGACTATATCAAATCAAAAGTTTATGATATGCAACCTTTGACCATACATGAACTCAGAATCATCAAACCTTGTGCTAAATTACCTGAGAAACACTTCAAAATGTTAGAAGTGAGTTCGAAAATAGACTTTTTCGCTGTCAGGGTGTTCAAAGAGAATAATTAGAATATCGACTCCAATGATTTCTTTATCGATGTATGAATGTAATTACCATATGGAGGCCGGACGTTACATATTAAAAGTGGAAGAGACAATTCGGAAAATGAATGGTAGACACCAACCTTATCAGTGTTTCCGGAAAAATCTCCTGGTTATTTCACTTCCTATTCTTTGATGGTGGGGTACCACAGGAGCGGGTACACAGCAGTTTTTTATGCATCACTTCATAAATATCTAGCGATTCACCCTTGTCCTCTCGCGAATGAAAGTTAGGAGGGGGAGACTGTAATTAACTGTTATAATCATAACTTTGATCTTATTGATATTAAGCTGGAATATATTGATGTTAGGGAAGTGCTAAAAATGTATCAAAACTCAGTTAATTTTTTCAACAGCTCTTTGCAAGCCCACATCGCTTGCTGTTACTACAATATCATTAGCATGTGTTGCATTGTAGCCTATTTAATACCTGGTTTTTATAGCAATGCTAGTTAAATTCCATACTCAGTTGATATCAACTATTTCGAATGTCATTTCGAAGTCTAGAGACACGGCTACTATATAATATGAATTTCTTCAACTCATTAATCAAACTAGGTTACCTTTCTCTTCAGCTTTGATTTCTTGCAAATTCGCGAATTCTTTTTGTATCAGTGCTCGTTTCAACAGGTCCCTATCAATTTCTTCTCCGAGGCGCTTTCCAAAGGCAAAGAGTTCACTGTCATAGTTCCACTCTAAGAAAGCCGATCGCGGTTTCTCAGGTTCAGGACCGACTTTTACTCTTCTCCTATAAAGCTCCTTCAAGGTAGGAGCAACCCACCTTTTTATAGATCGTCTTTCTATAATAAGAATGCAACAGTTTTAAAAAGTAGGGTTATGGCAAAGATTTTCAGACTAACCTGATAATCTTAAATGTGATACGTTTTGAGCAGCATATTTTCTGAGAAGCGAGAATACTGGTCTGTATTTCTTCTCCGAGGCGCTTTCCAAAGGCAAAGAGTTCACTGTCATAGTTCCACTCTAAGAAAGCCGATCGCGGTTTCTCTGGTTCAGGACCGACTTTTACTCTTCTCCTATAAAGCTCCTTCAAGGTAGGAGCAACCCACCTTTTTATAGATCGTCTTTCTATAATCAGATTGCAACAGTTTTAAAAAGTGGGGTTATGGCAAAGATTTTTAGACTAACCTGATAATCTTAAATGTGATACGTTTTGAGCAGCATATTTTCTGAGAAGCGAGAATACTGGTCTGTATAAGGACATTCTGATTTCTATTAATTTTTTGTAACCTCTTTCGTTTCCAAAAGTTAGGTTACAGTTGTGTTATTTTTGTTTTCGTCCTATTCTTATTATTTCCCTGTTATGGGTTGGACGTGCAACTATTGATCCAATTCCGAAGATACGTTGCGTTGATATTCTGGAACATCAGAAGGTAATGACGAATGACTGTTCCCGTTCCCAATTATATAGACATGCATCTAAATGCCTACAATAGTGTAGAAATAAGTAAACATAATAATATTACGAATAACGATGGTTGGCCAATACCTATACAGCTTGTTAAAATAATATTTTAATTATTCTGACTATTACATACGGACACATTGTAAAATTAATTCAAGACTAGTGAATAAGGCAACATTGTGGAAATAATTTAAAACACTTAAGACGCAGGTACCTAGCAGAGGTATCTATGATATAAACAAGGATAATATTGTTCGTATATTTAGTTTAATCTTCCTCTTGAAGATGATCACTTGGTGATCGAAACACATGTCGAGGTGTTTAAATAACGGTTTGGTGTTGGGATAAAACTCCAGTAATGTTCACTGAACATTTTTGCACAAAGCAACACGTGTTTCGTTATACAATAGCTTCATTATACGTGTCTTCAGTAACATACCCCTTGATGACTCATGTAAAAGATAAACAGACAATTGTTGCAATAATATATCTGTAAAATGAATTTGTCAAAAGCCTGTCCTGCAATGTTCGTTGTTGTATGATCATGTTTCCTCTGAATATAAACAATAATAAAAAATTCTGTCGAAATCGGAAAACCATACATATGTTGAATATTTGATGAAATTTGATTTGTGTCTTTATTACCTTTCATTGATTTGAATCAGACACGATGAGTATCCAGCAATATTTACCAATGCGATAGGATCTCATTGAGTAAACTAAATTATAATGCCATCAGTTTTCAACTCGCAAGATAAATCTACTTCCCATGTCTCATGCTAGATGAAATCAACGAACATGAAGGACACGTGCATGATTTGTATGATGAAACCTTTTTTGTACTTCTCGTCTTATACAAATTCTTATATAAATCTTGGATGTCGGCACTCTACCAAACCGTCTAAAGCTCCTTTCATACGGGATTGTAAACGGAAGAGATATTTCGGGTACATCTTACAAATGCTCACCCTCGTATCCGTCTGTTTGGAAGTTTGCAAGACCCTTTACAAGAACGAGTTTAAAACTATAGTCGCTTTACTACTATTCATGGAATTGGTTACGATGTTACTAATTTTGAGGAGGATAATCGTGGGTAATTTCTTCTGGAGGAAAAGCAACAGAGAACTTCGAGTAATGTTATATGTGTCACAGTACCTAAGAATGTTGAGAGTGGATGAACACTTCGTAGAATTGTTCAGATTTTACCATCACTCTTTTTATGTTGGGATTTTTGGCGGTATAGTTACTTTTGTCTGTCAAATGGCACCATATTACACTGAAGATGTAAATAGTATAATCTACGTTGTCTGTTTCAGTAGATTAGCCTTAGGTGAGTAATTTTTGGTGGCATTGAAACCCCTTTTTGCTAAAAATTATAGCACTTGAATTTTAGGTTGGTATTTTATCATACAGAGTGTCTTGAAACTTGACTGTTATAATATATATTGTCACGTTTTTTTGTGTGGTTCCTATGGAATTTTGAAGAAATCCTTTAGGTTTCGTAGGAATACTTCTTTGTTCTAATTGTTCAGCTAGTAGATTTGATTTTTCTATTGCTGTTGTACATTCTATTCTATTTCATTTCATTCCATTTAATTTCTTTTTTATCATTTTTTTTCCATTTAATTTCATTCATTAATTTCAAATGTGTTAATACCTTTTTTGTTGTAGTTTATCTGGTGACTTCATTCTATCTCAGAATTTGGATTGATATAGCCGCATATACAATTTTATTGAAAGCCATCTTCAAGCAAGTAACCCGAGAAGTGCAACACAGGTGTGCTGAAAACGAGATATCCTACTTGATTTTAAATAATGCACTTGGATACCATCACGAGCAAACCGCCTTTTTGGCCAAAATGAAGAAATTGAGGAGGATGTACATGACAACTCTGAGCAGTCTGAGGAGAACTAAAGGAGCCCTGTATGGCCTTCTTGAATTTATTTCGGTTTCCAACCATTTACAACTCACTTGGTTACTGTTCGTCACTATCATGGGATTTATTGGCATAGTGCAGTTCAACACAGATTATTTCGTGTTTTGTGCTAGGCATCTGATGCAACTATATCTCCTGGGTTCTTTTGCCAGGCTTTGCGATAAAATACAGGTTTCGGTGAGTTGAAGTAATAAATAAAACACGGAATTTTCATTTTTATTTATTTTTATCATTACATTTCGATGGAAAGTCATTGATGAATTCGCAACTCATTATTATGTTTAATAAAATGAATATTTCGAAATGATAGCTCGAAATATACATCTCTCCCAACTACCTACACCGTAGGTTCTGATACCTAACCTAACCTAACCTCTGTTACCAGAACCTACTGTCTAGGTAGCCGGAAGAGATGAATGTTTCGAAATATTTATTTTCGTATGCATATGTAAGTTGGGCCGGAAAGTTTGTAGGCTAACATAGAAAGAACTTTTTTTATATCAATAAAAATTGTAGGTGTTCTTTGAAAACGTGAAATCTAAAATATATCACTTTTTTAAATAAAATTTTAACCGTGACAATTGTATTTATCACTCATTATAAGTATAGGCTTTTTTATTGTTTTTTATTTTACAGATTGAAACCATGGCATCGAATTTATTTCAGGTTAATTCTGTTAAAATGACCGGAGAAGAAATTAGAGAGGTAAACGTATTTTGAAGTTTTGATTTGAACAAATTGTATTTGCAACATTTCACATGATTTCAAAAAGTTTTTCAGAAACTTAATCTGAGTCTACGAATAACTGACAATCAAATATTTCTTCTGATTTCAGATAGAGTTATTTGCAAAACTTTTGGGCTGGGAACAACCGATCAAAAGTGAAAATGACAAGACTGCCTTCGGAATTGATTTCTTGAGCGATGTAAGAATTTCATGTGAACTTTTGAGATATTTTTATTGCACAAAAACCAATTCTTCATTTTGTTTTCAGCTGACAGTTGATATATTTGTGAACTGCATGGTTCTCACCCAGTTATATTTCTGGTTCAACAAATGAAGAACTTCTGGAATAACATCTTTGAATTATAATGAACTTTATCTCAATATCACGTTTTAAATCTTGCAGTAAATAATATTTGTAGAGTATTATCATTGTCAGTGTCAGAGTGTTATTGTCAGCGAACTCACTAGACCTACATCACACATAAACCGAGCTTTGAACTAAACGTAATTTTATTAATAAAAAATTCATCTTGACATAAAACCATTATATTTCATTACAAAAATATAAACTCACAGTTCGTAGTGACTTATTCTGATAACATAGCTTTAACAATTTGAAGAAGAACTATTTTGGATTGAAGTATGCTAATATCCTAAGAGAGGTTTGAATAGTTTGGTCCACAGTAAGTAAAACATTCCAGCCAATAATATGATTTTGAAGAAAAGATCCACGAACCACATACTGAAAATGAAGAAATAATATGTTTTACATTTAAATTACTCATCAGAATTTATGTTCAACAACCGAAGTTTTCACTGAAATGAAATGAATAATTTGAAGAAATTATTAATAACACTATATCTGGCAAAACAATAGAAACTTTTTATATACGTTTACTTCAAGATTTAATTCTATTCGAGAGTACGATTCATTACTGAAGTTTTGAAACTTCTTACGTGATTCATAAACACTCCACTTACAGTTTCATATGCCTTTTGGCTGCTGGGATAGTATCATCAGTTTCTTTGAGAATGTACAGCCGTGTACAATGAACGCAACTAGTGAAATACTCTGTGTAATCAATTCCATCTCCATCAACCTTGTATATTTTTCTCTCAGTAGGATTCAACATTTCTCGAACTTCCATACCATTGTCGTTGTTGAAGTCCCATTGGTTATTAGCATAGTACTCGAATACTTCATATCCTTTGGATATTCTCTTCTGAATTCGGAGAAGTCTGAAAGTCAAATGTATTGGGGCACGTATTAATTTTCAACTTTATAGTCTAGTCATATTAGGGGTTTCATTTCGGAATGAGAGATAATAAGCTCTAAACTCGTATATTGGTGTTTTAGCAGTTGTCTCAAAAGTCTCGAAGAATCTCGTGTCTGCACCGAAAGTTATTCAAGGTCTAAGGTCACAAAAATCAGTTTTTCGCGATTATCTCAATTTTTATAGCTCCAATGATGTTAACATTTAATTCAATATTGAAATTGAAGAGCATTAAATTTGTGACAAATTTTTTTTCGGGTTTTTTTTTCAAACGCCCGACCGCTTTTGAGATAGAGGGCGAAAAACCCGCAACGATAAAAATAAAATAAAAACAAAATCAACAATAAAAATTAATTAGCGCTCCGGGGCGACTTCATTGATTCCAGTGGCGCATTTACTTTTTTAGCTGCAGGGAAACCCGGAAAAACCTGCAACACCACATCATCTGAAGATCTTGATCTAACAATGTCCTCTCTCTTATAAAACAAAATGTAGGGTGTCTCCAGAGGCTCCAATAAATTCAATGCATCGCCAGAACACTTCGTGACACAACTATCGTCAAAGTTAAACCAGAATGTACAGAATTAAATAAAATTATTTTATTTAATAATACTTACCTCCTTCTGTAATAATGAAATACTCATTTTATATCTTGAATATAGGTATATTAATCAATTTATTTGAAGTAGATTTCAAGGAGAAATAAATATATATTGTAATTTCGCAGCTAATTATCTTCCATTCCAAGGTTGAAGTTAAAAAACAATTCCTATTTTAATAAAACTCACATTGGTTTGTAACCTAATATAAACAGCAAAGCGTCAACGAATATAGCAGGTAATATTTGGAACATGTAGAAGCAGATGTTGTGGATGAGTCTAGACTTTTTCATCGATCCTCCAGGATACCAAGCAACATTGTTCAGTGGCATTTTGGTTTCAATTACTTTTCTACCGATGTCTATGATTTCAGACCAAGAAATTTTGTACTCCGATGAACTTGTCAGGTTGAAGATTCTTCTTTCACTGAGAACGACAAATTAGATAGAATTTAAGTAAAAAGGTATGAGTTTTAGTACTCAGAGAGACAATAATGTGGCGTCACTCGTCACTCACTACAATATTGATGCATCAATGGGTGATGAGTGATGCCACAAAAGTGTCCCTCTTATCAAAAAGTAATGCATTTGCCCGACGTTGATATTTTGTACCGCTCAAGAGTTAAGAGGATATGCATTGGATATGTAATGCATCAATTTTACATAAACAATTATTTTGTTGAGTTGAACTAGTTACCCGGATTTGAGGTATTCAAAGGGGCAGATAACCATAGCATTTACTCCGATATCTACTGGCAAAAAGTCCGCGTATCTGTCAGAGTTGCAGTACATGGTCCTTATAACTCCTTTTCCGGCACCGATCAACAGTCCTGCCGGTCCATTTATGTTGTCTGTCCATCCAGGGATTGGTTCTCTCCAAACAGGAATAACTAAAAATATATTGGATAATGAAAGAGAAATTCTGGCAAGACGTGAATGACAAAATGAATATGAATCGAAATCTCACCTACAGAGGGCCTCAAAATAACAACCGGAAGGGTGTCCATCTCATCGGCAACCAATGACTCTCCCAAAGCTTTTGTGAAAGCATACGTATTAGGAATATTCCCTAAAATCCTGAAATACATAATGAACATGAATCGTACCGTACCATTTCCATCAGATCGTTGAATAATCCACATAAGATGATTCGAACTCAGGAATATAATACGAAATGGTTTCGGTTATAGCGAAAATAAAAATGTTACGTGCTTTGGTGTTATCGAATCTATAACATCATCACTCATCCATTCAACTGTTTTGATCACATGGTGGGGATCTGCAGGAGGAGGGTATACCTTCTCGTATAATACTCTCTCGTGGAGATGGCAGTAAGCTGTCGAAAGATGAATAAACACCTACAAAAACGTTTCTGTATTAATCAACAAGTACCTGTACCACCTTACGAAGACCAGACAAGAGCCTTCTATCTGATTTCCACGCTAACTCATATTTAGGATTTTTTTGCGGTCAAGTGTGCCCAACAAGGCATTCATGGTTCAGTCTAGCACGACTGTAGGCCAAAACAGCGTGGTCTGGTAGATCACGAATGCTTTGTTTTTGGGTCTTTGATTTCAACTCACCTTCAACTTTATACACTCTTTGGCTAATTCCAACATGAGTTTCGTCCCTCTGACATTCAGTATCACCGCTTTCTTCAGTGGTTCATCAAACCGTACGGTCGCAGCACAGTGAAATATGAATTCTACTTCGTTCTTTATAACTTCCCTGTCTTCTTTGGAAATACCAAGATCAAGTGCGGTCACATCACCCGCTATAGCTTCTACTTTATTCGTTATATCAGCTCCTCGTTCTTTTTTCACCAAGTCGAAAAGCTGCAAAATAGAGTTGTTTCATGCTTGTGAAAATTTTACTAATGCCAGTTATTATAATTGTCATCAAAGATAAAACTCCTCGACCGACTTCGGTTGCAAATTCATACTCACTGGATCATTCATGATACTCCTAATTCGCTCCTGGGTCTTCTTTCCTTTTTTGGTCCTGATCAGCAAGATGATTTTCTTCAAACCGCTACATGATCTCAAAAGTTTTTCCACTAGTACTTTTCCTACGAATCCGGTACCGCCAGTGATGAAGATAACTTTGTCCTTGTACAACTCAGCAATTCTGTCGGGGTATTCCTCTATATCGGTGTCTGCCATTTTAGCGAACCTGTGAAATTACAAAACAAATACTTAGAAACCGACCATAACAAATATATTTTGCTATTCAACAATTCAAGTAAGTGGTGCCATTTGAGAAACTCATGCGAAACGACACAAGAAACAGGGAGCTCAAGAAGAAACATTGAGAACAATTAACCAAAAACAGACTGCCTACATTCATGACTGATGAAGAAGCATGTTGCTACTCAAGTGGCATAGAAAAAAGGGCTCAACGAACACAGGCTTTAATAACTTTTCATTATTATATAGCAAACTGTGCTATCATCTAACCGTGCTATCATCTTTCCGTCTTGTGTTTACAAGAAAACTATCAAAATCACCATGGAGGCAGCTATAACTACCTGCGTGACATCCGGGTCCAGGAAATAATACAAATATGGTTATTGAGTGTCTTGATATAGATACAGATCTATTAACTGAAAAAAAACCAACCAAGTGTTGCTCATCCTTACACTTAGCTACACCATACTGATGATGGACCAAAAACCCGAAACACATGTCTATGGTTTGCCATTTTCTTGAGTGTTATGTCCGATTTAGCGGGAGCTGACCGTTTGGCGGAAGTTGGTCGTGTGTTCCGCTTGGTTAAAGGTTTCCATATGTTGCATATATCTACGCTAGCTTGGATAAATGAGTGATTGGAAAACATATATGCGGCTTCTTTGAGTTTTCTCCTAAGCCAGTTTTTCGCCTTGTGGATGATTTCAGCTTGAGACCACTTGATGTTATGATGATGAGTCTGCTATTCCCGATTTGCTGGTTTCTCCTCGCTGTGTGTGTTTCTTGTGCTGGGCAATGCGAACTTTCAATGGCCTTTCAATTTCACCGATGTATGATTCTCCGCACTCGCAGGATATCAGGTAAATTTAATACTTAGAATCGCAGTCTGCGTTTGGTGGCCTGGTATTCGTGAAGCTGCTACGGATAGTGTTCCCAGATCTGAAGCAAGTTCTGATGTTATACTTGAACCCAAATCTTGTCATCCTTTCCGACAATCCTCTGATGTAGGGAAGTACAAGTACTGGTTGTGGCGGCTTCTCTTCCTTGTGACGCTTTTGCTGTCTTCTAGACAAAGTCTGTTCCACCATCACTCTGGAGTTACCATTCCGATGAAGGTCATTTTTGATGATGCCTAGTTCTTTTTCGACCCTCCCTCTTCACCTTTACGTCTAAGAATGACAATTCGTTGTGGACTTCCTTCTCAATTGTGAAACAACTCACGTTGTTGATGTGCTTCAGGAAGGTATCTAATTCTGCATTCCCATGGTTCCATAGGTGTCGTCAACGTATCTCAACCATTCTCAAGATTCCATACCGTTGTAGTTTCCGAAGCAGTGTACCATGACTAACACAGTTGAACGCTACCATATAATTATTGTTTCCATCGAAAAGTGATGAGTAGACATACTATGAGGTTGCGCTTGTCGAGCCCTATTCTCCGAAATCCCGGTACATTCGGAAGAGCGCGCCAACATTATCAAACAATGACTACTTCCCACACCGTAAGAAGTGGCCATTGTTTTTTCCTCCTCTTTTCGGATGATATAAATCTCGCTAGGAACTGAAAATCCCGACAAATATCGTCTCGCTCTGATGGTCTAGAAGAACCTCATCAGGCTTATTAGCTTGTATGAGCCTGAGGGTGAGGAACGAATAGTTCCAATAAATTCGACACAACGGATCCAGCATCCCCCTGAGCGTAGGGCAACACCTGTGTATCTTCAATACCGTAAAAGTACCGTAAGTTGTGATGAAGCACTTTTAGGCCTGAGACCGCATATGCTGGACATGCTGACAGCAAGTGCATTATGGTCACAAGCGATTCGCTGCAGGTCCTGCCCCTTCTGTGAGGTACTTCTATACCCATTATGGCCTGCCAGGCCATGATGAACCGCTAAGTTTCAGACTTCAGCTCACTCGACCTAATAAAAGTGAAGGTCGGGGGCTTTGACTAGCCGGTGTCTTCAATGTTGTTGAAGATGACCCTCCATGCATTGCCTTTTAGGATCATCCATATAAAATGAATGGGTGACCTTACGCCTCCGGTTTCCGGGGGTGCCACAATTATACCCTCGAGAACTTCTGAGCGCAACGGATAAACGCAATAGTGAGATGCAGAAGGGAAGGGGACTAAGGAAATCGCCCTGAAATACAACCCTTCTGAAAGTGTTTGTAGTCTAGCCTGACCTGATGTTACGGTGAAGCAAGTCCGCCAGAGTGGTGTCACTTGTTCAAGGCATCCCATTATTTTGTCCGGTACCGCAGGGAGTAAAAGGAAGAAAAATATAGGGATCAGGCGTCAAAACATTCTTTATGTATTACTTTTCAGTCGATATCATATAATCGTATGAAGATAATTTCATTTAATAAGGTAAAAACACGAATAAATTGTAATGTATTCGTGCTTTTACATTTTCTACAAGCTGAAAAATTACTTTGTTGTAAACCAATTCAACATGTGTAACGATAACAGTAATAATCAATGTTGACCGATATTTAAATGCGTATCGCATTCACTGCTAATAAGTAATTGAATAAAGAAATTAACATCAACCGTGACTTTCTAATTAGCAGTAATCGAAACAAGGAAACGTAACATTTGATGTGATATTTTTTCAGAGAAGTTGCAGCGTTCAATGCCATTAGATTTTTATCGTTAAGTATCATGATAATTTTTGACAAAATCTATCAAAAAATTGCAAAACAAAGCAAATCGGAAGCGCGTTGATATTTTTGGGAAAGAGAGGTTTTACAAAGTCATAGGTCTGCATGAGAGGCGAGGGATAATGTGTTTTCACCTGATCTTGGAGCATGTCATATGCACCTCTCCGAAATAACAATCATTATTCCGACTCCCATCCGGAGTCTATGTTTGTGGAGTTGTTTCCTGGTTTTGTTTGCAGATGGCGCAGTGGACATCTCATCGAATCAACTGCAGAAAGATTTCATAACTAGCTGGAATTATATTTGTTTGGTCGTCCGATATAGAAGGCCCCGACACTCTGTCAAATGAGGCCCTCATGTCCCCCGTTAACGAATGAATAACTTTCTCATCCATCCCACCCCAGCCAGGTAGAGGTATCCCGTAAAGGGCGGCACTGATGTCTAAGGACTTCATGCCGACATCAATCAGTCATGAACCCATTGGTCCCTCTCAAGACCAACAATCAGCCAAAAGGGTAGGGGAGCTGGTCTCCAAACCTGAAAGAATTCACGATGACATTCTGGTGTTTGATCGTGATACTCAGACGGTTCACACCGTTTTCAAGAGACCATGCGCGGTACTGATGATGGTCGTATCGACCAAATTAATTTCTGCTTTTCGAATGGAAAATAACTTGCCACGAATCTTCTAAATCGACGTCACGGGCCTAGAAAATCCAATTTTTAATAATTAATTACGGGAGCACAACACTGTTTAGAGAGGTGAAACAAAGTAGGTACACTATTTTTCAATTTGAAATTACCTACTACCAAATGAACTGTAAACCAAAAATCATGAAACAAGCCCATTGTTTTGTTTCAGTAAATTGAGAAGGATGATTTCAATTTGAACTTCATCAATTTCAGTTATGAAGGATAAAGAGTACGATTTAAAAAAATTATTTGTGAAATTGTATCGACTACACTTTTGAATCGAGTAATTTGAATACATTGCACCTTCAAGTGTCAATGGTTAACGAAATAAAATTTTTACGTCACAACCTTCATCTTTGTAAACAACAAAACACTACGACGTATAACATTAGCTGACTATTTTTTTATTGCAACCTTTCGTACAGCATTAATTTAATGATTTCTTAGAGTTCCAGTAGGTACTCGCGTAATTGGACCGATCATTTGCATGATAAAACTCTATCGTTAAAGTTGAAATGATCTTCAGTGATGCCATAGTTCTAATAGAAAATATAAGTATTATAAATTTTTTTAATTGACATATGGATGAGTTAACGTGAGAAACTGTTAGGCTGGCTTTTTCAACGAGCATTAATCACTTTAACAATTCGACAGATCATTTTTCCATTGTCCTTCCTTGAGAGATATGTGGCTACCACCAAGTGAAAATGATTATATACGGTTTTACTTTTACGAATGGAAGATCCATATCTAATCCTTTTGTTTATCTACTACCTGAACTAATTTCATGAGTGAACTAGAGTTGAGAAATACATCAACATGAGCAGAGAATATTAGCAAAATTACTGAAGTTATGGAATAAATTTATAATCAGGTCTAAGCATGGACAGATCCATATTTTTCAATTCAAAAATTATATTTTCAAAAGACGTCTCGAATCGATTGGCCCATAAACATATTTTTCAAAGATGGGGAGTGACAAATCCCAGAAAAAATCGAAGGTTACAGATGAGTGTCCACAGTATGTGCACTTCATCCTGGATTTCAATTGACCAACAAAATTATCTACAATCTTAGACTCATACAGTGTGACTCATTTTTAATGGAAACACCCCCCTAAAAGATTAAATGTCCAGGTTTTGCTCATTGTTTTTTCGATAACCGTGGCATTGTACATCAGGATTTCTTGCCACATGGTCGCGGGGTCAATAAGGAGTATTATCTTGAAGAAATACGAAGAAAACGTCCGGTATTGTGGAAAAACTATGCACGGCGATAATTCACCTGTTTCACTCGTCATTTTTTTGAGAAAAATGAAAATTCACATTATTTTTTTAACAGACCTCGTAGATCACATTAGAGGTCGTCCGCAGAATAAAACAAGCTGAAGTACGTGTGTTATTATTGAAATTTTTTGATTATATAAAGATTTATTAAAAACCAAGTTTTTCGAACGAACAAGTTTCTTCATCGATACGCTGACTGCTTTTTTCAACTGATCAAATTGAGGTCGCGTTACACGAATCGGGGTTACGGTTATTATATAAGACCCATGTCTCAACGCATTACATAACTTTTTCCATATCTCACAAGAAACACATAACGGAAACGATGAAAAATATTGAGAATCCCAAATTTCGAAAGACTCACCAAAATTTCAGTTGTTTTTTAATCGTCACCACCACAATCTTTCACTGCGACTAGCTTCTCATCGATCACCACAGCGTTATAACGGTAGAAATAATTGGTTCCTCGATCAAAGGGCAATCCAAGTTGAAAAAACAAAAACAGTGTCACGGCAAGAGTTTGTTTTCAGCAGACACTCGATGGTACTTCTGTCGGTGTTGTTTCTAACTGCAGGTAGATTCGGTTCGCGGTTTGGTCTCACTTTCGTTTTCGTTCGGGAGAGAGGGTCACCATTTGCGTGCAGCAAACACGCGAAACAGGTGGATTCAGGGTCTTCTGACCAGTTCTTCCACGAATAATAAAAATAATGTTTTTCTCCAGCAATAAAAGACGAACAAGATATTTATATTTCCTTCACGATAGAGCAACTTATGGACCTGCGAAACATTGAATCTTTGAAGCAGGGTGTATTTACCCTGCTTCAAAGATTCAGCCCTCGCATCTTTAAAATTCCTTGAAGGTATCATGTGAATGGAAGTGATACGAAATATCACTGGGTACTATCTCATTAAGGGATCAATTTTTAGGAAAACAAGATTCTGGCTTTCTACAGCTTCACCTTCATACAAAAAATGTGTGAATCTTCCAAAGAAAGGAATAAAGCAATTAATTTCAAAATAAACTATTCACAAACAGTCGTTCTTGAATTATAGAGGGTGTTACTAACATGAATATGCGACTTTGTTTAATTTATTCGACGAATTTGAAATAAATCACTTTCATATGGGATGAAGAAAATACTATTGAATAATTTCTACAAAGTTTATCATTTGTTATCCATTCCATTTATTATATGTTAGACCATTCTCAAGACAAGTCCAATACTTTTTTTATAGACAAAACACAAGCATCACAGGAAAATCCATACACTTTCCGTGAAAGTACCTATAAGAGATAGACAAATCTTCAACCTTCCGCCGATGTACCAGACCATCAAGGTTGCGTATGATGTTCGTGTCTGCAATCAGGCGGATGGCACTCTTCTGGATGGAACCCACCAGCTTCAGGGTATGCTTAGCGGTGGAGCTCCATACATGAGAACAATACTCCAAGAAAGGTCTGAGCTTCATAAAACATCAAAAGGTGTGTGCAGTTTTCTGGTTCGGAACAGTGTTCCAAGCTTTGAGAAGCAGCCCTTGCAATTCCAGCGACACGATTGTGCTAAGACNGGGCCATAATGATTTTTTCAGTTTGTTCCAAGGGCCAATTTCTGCCCTTAACTATATTTCTAGACTAGGATAGTCTCAAAGTGCGACTGGGGTGAGAAATAAATATTTATCAGCTGAAATATATATTTTGAATATATTTCATTGATATCAGACTATAATCTATTAAAAGTATTCAAAACTGATATTTGAATGATATAAATATGATTTGAATAGCTGAATATTCAGAATATAATATTTGAATATGCAAATTATGTATTCCTGCGTTAACATATAGATAATAGTTTAAACTTTGAGTCATGTTAAGGTTATTGACATTATTTTGAAAGAAATGTACAGAGTGGAATAAATTGTGTTACATAAATTTACAGAGGAGCCATTTCAGTAAAAATTCATTATTGTTCACCTTATTCATTGAACAGAGTAGTATGCAAATTTTCAGCTCAATCAATTGAGAATAATTGCTTCGAAATTATGTTGCAAAGTTTGCCTTCAACTGATGAACTTACATACGAACATTTGGCTTGTTCCGCAATTGTCGAAGTCATCAGGCCGTAGGTGCCACTGGGTCCTGAAACTCTTAGTCCAGCCGCTTCCTAGGCTAAAGTGTCGGCAACGCGATTACCTTTACTCCTGTCGTGCCCTTTAACCTACCTCAGGATAATGTTATTATCTACCGAGGTTTTGGCTAAATCTTGGTGGCATTCTAGTACTAGCCCTGAGGTAACACGTGGTCTGTTCAAGGCTAATAGGGCTTGTCTGCTGTCAGTGCAGATTGTTATGTTTTTGCCAAAAATTCCTTTCCTGGTTATTTCTTTTGTGACGATTGAACCACGCTGGTATTTTTTCCCATTCCCCACTTAATCCTTAGGCTTAGTGACCTGGAGTGAACTCCACATCCTTTTTGAGCCGTCTGTTTATATGCGTATTGCTTTTATAGCATCTGACTCTGTGTTATTTTAATACCCCGACACGTGTTTCGATCACCAAGTGATCATTTTCAAGAGGAAGATCAAGCAGTTTAGTTAGATGCACTATTTGGAATCAAAGGTTCCAAATAGTGCATCTCAAGTAGGTATTTGAGAATCAAACCCCTTTGAAGAAACATAACATTCGAAATAAACTCTGAAAATGAAAGTTTTTTCATTTCTGCTAGTATTTTTGCAAATGACATGATCATGATGTTACAGTTTAATGGCTCACTTATAACATTTCAATGGATCACTCGTAATGAGGTTACTCGTCATTTCCTATGTTATTATTTATCGCAATTGCACTGAAATATAAAACCAACTATTTCTTCATGGAAATTAATCAAATCATCATTTTTTCAATGCACTACAAAAATGACATTTTTTGAATTCCAACATATTATTTACAATAGAAACACCTGTTTCATGAACGGTATAATCCAATGTTTATCAAACACGGGATGGTTGCTGGAATACCTAAAAAAGAATGCATACATGGAAGATATCAATACTTGTATTTCTAGTATGAAAGGGGTTTTAATCAAATCGTTCGCAGAAGTTATTAAGGAATTATGGTCAAAAGATTCATCTGATAGAGTAATTAACACAGTCTACTTCAAAAATCAGATTCAAAGATTTGCCCCTCGATACATGGGTTCTGCCCATCAAGACGCCCACGAATTCCTTCGATATCTTTTAGAAGGTTTACATGAGGACCTCAACAAAATTACTGAGAGACCTGAACCGATCTTAACTGAGATTAACGAAAAATTGAGCGATAACGGAAAAGCACAAGAGTCCTGGCAGTAATATTTGAATATGAACAACTCCAAGATTGTAGACTATTTCGTTGGTCAATTAAAATCCACTATGAAGTGTACACAGAACTTAAGAGATAATTTCCATAGATCTGGGGTGGTACTAGTTTTGATGCAAATATTTATTAATATTGTCAATGGACGAACCAAAACATATGCACAATCTCTGACAAAATCAGTGCAGGGATGCTGTCTGGACCTTTGTCATTTTTGGTTTTATCTGTTTCAAAGCAGCCAACACTTTATTTTCTTCGAAGTAATGAACGTTCAATCCTTGTGAATATGGATTTCCTCACAATAGAACTCTGCTGTGATGGTTCGGCCCAATTGCAGAAAGTTATAGTAAAGCACACCAGCCGCTGACCACCGTACAGTAACCATGGTCTTTTTTTGGTGGGTTTTCATCTCTGGGAAGTAACTGGGTGTCTTATTGGTGTCCAAGCACTGTCCTAAACGTCTCCTGTTGCCATAGAGGATCCACTTTTCATTACACGTGATGATCCGATCTGAAAAAGAATCGTTTTGGTTGCGCAAAAGCAAAGAAGAACGGACCTTGAAACGTGACAATATATGTCGATCATTCAAATTGTGGGACACCCACTTTTTGAATTTGTTGACATTTCCAATACGTTTTAAACAATCAAAATCGTATGGGAGCTTAGCGCCCAGTTCTTCCGTGATCCCACGCACCGTTTGTGGTGGGTCAGTCTCTTGAAATCCTTGTCTTGGATTACTGTAGGTCGACCACTTTGGGGCTCATCTTCGAGGATATAGTTTTCGGAATAAAAATTTCGCAAACACACGTTCATTAACACAACACCACCATTGCCAAATGTCATCGAGCGGCAAATCTGGTCAGCCAGGTGGCCACGAAAAAATTCATAGTGAATCATTAATAATGTTTTGTAATCCACATTTTTAGGTAATTTTCAAAACCAGAGATTGTTCAACGAAGAGATGGGAATCTATTCGAATAGAAAATCATCATAATTTTGTCTGAATTTATAAATTAACATGCATAATCAACCAGAAAATGTTTTCGAGTGTAATAAGATACCCTGTAAACTATTCTTGTGATATTACGACAGAGCAAATTCAGAGTCATACTTCTGCGAAGTCATCAGATAATAACAGTTCTGTTTGGGTCGCAAAACTTTCACAAATGGGTTCCACGAGACGGTCGAATTGGGAAAAACCAAGGTTGGTGGACTCTGATATATAATATTTTCAAGTTCGTCAAATGATGTTTGTTGGTTATCGTAATTAGCACTTCTGTGAAAAATTGAATACAGAAATAATTCCGTCATAACTCATGCAACGATATTTGTTACCTAATAGGAAAAGTTACGAAAATGTGTGTTTTGGCGTTTAAAATACAAATTTTACGAATTCTTTCTTTGAATTTTTAAATCCAGTCTCTTAAAAATTGAATAAATGAAGAAACATTTTTGATAACTGAAAAAAATTCTCAATCTTTCGATATAGTCATAATTATCGCAGAATAATTTTTGAATAATTTCGGGAGTGAACTTTTGGCGTGTTATACAAAATACTCATTTAAATGTTACTTCTGTGTGATATCCAGCCTGGGTTAGACTGTTAGACATTTTCACAGCACTTTTAGGTGCGAAATTGTGTCAATGTCGCCTAAAACTTACGAAAGTTTTCAGATAAATAACTGAATTTCATCCTCGACAATTTGACCTTGACACGATATGTATATAAGAAGTCGAGTATAATCGATTTTAATTTCGTCAATTTCATAAATAATGAATACATAACCGAAAGCTCCAGCTTATTCCAAAATGTGATTATGAAAAGTGAAGATTTGTGTAATAAGGGAAGAACCTAAACGGTAAAAATTCTTGAAAATTGAAAAATCTATAAATTTCCACTGTAACAAAACCAAGAAGGTTGTTTATAGTTGTAGACTGAGAACTAGTGTTTTTTAACACATATTACGTCAATAATATTGATTAAATAATATTGATCGTGTATGGATACCTATTAAATTCGTATGACGTATTCAATTGATGAACGAATTGGATTTCTAACTATTTTTTTTGAGATAAAGAATGTCGCCTAAATGAAAAATACACATCTCACTGCGTATTGTTTTCCTTCAACAGATATGACGGAAAATCTACGATGGCATATGTCTATCTAATAAGGATAGCTAGAAATACACATTGTCATGTTGCAAAAATGGTCATACGCTGTTTGTT